TTACGTTGAAATTACCTGATGAGTGTGGTCATTTTCGACCATACGAAACAGAGCTGTCGTAATAAAACGATGAACTTCCTCTGAAGTCTTGAACCAGTTTGTTACAATTATCAGTGCTCCTCTAAGAGTTGGGTGCTCTTTGAAATACATTCAAATCAAGTTCAAGAATATATATATATATATATATATATATATGCGTGTTTGTGTTATGTTAAATTTACCTACTACGACATCTGGTACTTGGGGAAAAACATAGTCATGAATGTTTTCTTCACCGCGGTCCTCCGTCTCGAACACGCAGACGTCTGTTTCTTTCTTTTTGTCAAGAAGTGAATATGCCATCAATAAGCCGCCTGCACCTATAAATTAGGAGAAAAGACTTTAAAAAAATCGAGCAGATTGACAAAAAAACTACTTGCGCTTCAAAATTACCGCTGTTCAGATGGATGATCATTTAATTTTCCTCTAAGGAACTTTCATTGAGATGCTGATGCACACCATTACATTGTTACCTGTGTTATTCTGAGAGACAAGATTGTGGACAACAGCTCGTGAAAAGTTCACAGATAAAACTGTCACGACGTAAATAATGTCTAACTTTCTCTGACAATATCAATACACCATTTTGCGGGTTGGTGACAAGAAATGACAAGAGTGTTATCTGAAAAAGTTTTCTTTATGTGATTGACAAATTCTCTCACTTCCTTATTAGGAAATTTATGATAAGCAGAAACGATAAAGGGTAAAGAAACTTGAACAGTACATGTTTAAGATAGCCAAGTGTACCGAACGTTTGCAGTCAGTGCGACAGTTCTCACCTGCTCCTACTATGGCTGTACCGCACTTTAAGCTAATTCTATCAGGGGACGTGACCGGTGCTGCAGTCGAGGGCCCAATAGTTGTTGGCGCAGCACTAGCTGTTGGTTTTGCTGTGATCAGTGTGGCAGTAGCTGTTATTGCGGCAGCAGATGATGCAGTTACTGTGGTTGTTGGTTGTACTGTGTTGGATAGAGGAGTAGTTGATGGAATTTCTGTGGTTGCTGGAGAAGTAGGTGTTGGTAAAGCAGAAGTCGTTGGTTTTTCTGTGGTGGATGGTTGTGCTGTGGTTGTCGGAGTAGTGGTTTTCGATAAAGCAGAAGCTGTTGGTTTTTCTGTGGTTGTTGGTTGTGCTGTGGTTGTAGGAACAGTGTTGTTTGGTAAAGCAGAAGTCGTTGGTTGTGCTGTAGTTGTTGGAGCAGTAGTTAATGCTTTTTCTGTTGTTATTGGTTGTGCTGTTGTTGTTGGAGCAGTGGTTGGTGCTTTTTCTGTGGTGTTTGGTTGTGCTGTGGTTGTTGGAACAGTAGCTGTTGCCTTTTCTACGGTTGTTGGTTGAACTGCGGTTGTTAAAGCAGTGGTTTTTGCTTTTTCTGAAGTTGTTTGTTGAGTTGCAGTTGTAAGAGTAGTGTTTGTTGCTTTTTCTGAGGTTGTTGGCTTTGCCGCGGTTGTTAGGGCGGCGGTTGTTGCATTTTCTGGAGCTGTTGGCTGTGCTGTGCCTGTTGGTGCAGTGGTTGTTGGTTGTTCTGTGGTTGTTGGTGGGGCAGTGGTTGTTGGTTGTTCTGTGGTTGTTGGTTGTTCTGTGGTTGTTGGTTGTTCTGTGGTTGTTGGTTGTTCTGTGGTTGTTGGTTGCGATGTGGTTGTTGTTTGTGCTGTGGTTGGTGGAGCAGTAGTTGTTGCTTTGTCTGTTGTTGATGGTTGTGCTGTAGTTGTTGCTTTGTCTGTTGTTGCTGGTTGTTCTGTGGTGGTTGGTTGTTCTGTGGTGGTTGGTTTTTCTGTGGTTGTTGGTTGTGCTGTGGTAGTATACTGCGTTGTCGTAGGACCTGCGGGGGTTTGAGTTTTTGAATCCGAGGTGGGAGCAACAGTGGTAGTTGTGGGTTTAGTTGTAGTAGAACGCTCATTTCTCACAGTTGTTTCCTGAGGAGCTGTGGGTTCCGGCCCTGTTGGTTTCTTTTTTGTGGTCTCCTCAGCACCTTTGGTTGTGGCCGGAAATTCAGTCGATTTTGTGTCCTCTCCATCTTCTGATGAGATAATGAAAACGTAAAACATTCGTCAAGTTTTTTTCTTTTTTCTTTTTAATAGATATATTAGAATAAGAGCACTCATTTGTTTGTTTTCATCGCTGTGATGACAAGAAATGGCATCGATGACAATAAATGTTAAATAACGCAATATTTGAAGCTTTACGTCGTCGCTGTGTGACATGACTTATATTGCTTTGCGTAAACAATTAAGATTCCTCTCAGTGCAGCAGATTGCCTGGTAAACATCGGGCCGGGTTGTTCAAAGCTGGGTAAGAGAACCCAGAGTTAGTGTGAAATCCGATTTCAGATCTGAAAGCCTTAAAAGAAAATTCAGTACAATTCGTTTTCTATACATTTTGATGATTGGATGCCCTTCAAAGAATGGAGAAAATCATTCGAGAAAGGCTTTTGAACAAAAAGATGAAGAAACCCAAATTAAAAATTACTCTGGGTTAGCACTAATCAGCCTTCGAACAGTTTGGCCCTCAGAGGTTTTCGTAATTTTGTTTAGATTTTGCTGATCAGGCGTGGTTGATGCTTCAGTCGTCGTGGCAGAAGTTCGAATTTTTGCAGTTGTTGCTTGAAAAGTTGTTAGTCGATGATGTTGTGATAATCACGACAAGTGGAAGTAACAGGCTGGTGTTACAGGTTTTTTTTTCGCAATGATTTATTTTGAGTTTTCACAATGAGAACAATTTAAGGATCTTGCAGCAAACATCCCCTTTCCGGAATGACCGTTGATCATCGCAAATACAGAGTGCTCAGTCAGCACTCTGGCCGACGTGCTTCTCGGACAACGATCATGTCGACTGAATTGACTGTGTATTCGGCCCGGAAATTAGAAAAAATAGCCAGCTAAATCCACGATCATTTACGAGAAAGAGTTAAAAAAAAAAAAAAACCCACAGAGACGATTTGTAACTTATCAAACATTTTTTAAGGAGGAATCTTATTGATTTCCGCGTACAATGACATGGATCAAAATATTAAGCTTTCGTTCGTTAAAAACGACAAAAAATCTCTGATTTCCAGACGAGTTAAAAATCGATATAGCAGAGGCTTCGATGTCAAACTATACCTTTCCGTCACAGTGACCTGTCCTTGCATTCAGAAATAACCTCCAAAGTCTTGGTCTCGATTGTCTTAATGCATAAGAAAGACTCAGTTCAACAGGAAAATGAAAACTCGTTCAAGAATCTCACATTCGGACCATTCGCCATCGTTGCAGTTATTGGCGAGAGCAAAAAGATCGCAGTGGTTCTAAATAAAGTTTAAATACCTTTGCTGCATTGGGTCTGGTATTTCAAATTTGGACTTCCAGGGCCGAACATTGCGATTATAACGGCTAGAACTCCACTAATGCCGATTATCATGAACAGGAACAGCAAAATCTGCCACACTCGAAAAGTATATCTCTTTTTCAAAAAATATTCCTTTTTCGTCAGGTCGAAACCCTCTTCGCATATTCTTAGAGTTGTCGAGCTGTCGAATGTCTGCTTGGTGGACATTTCCATGTTATTTGAGAGCGAAAGTAAATAGTATCCATACAGATCGTAAAATGCATGGACCCTAGTTATCAAGGTCGATTAACAATAGATTACACTATTCTATTGGCTTTCACAAGTGGCTCTCATACCACACCCAATAGATGTTAGCCATATGATAAGCAGAAAGCCATATTTGGTCTAGATAACGTTAACATTTCTCTCCCTTCTTTTTATTTCTTTATCCAAAACTATAGCACTGCTCAGGCGCGGATCCCTACCGGTTTCCGCCGTTTTACGGAAATCGGTCAGAATTTTCATAATGAAAAAAATAAACAGATAACTATATATTTTCAATAAATTAAAGTGAAAGTTGCTGCAAATATATCTTCTGACTGACTCAAAAAGCCAGGAAAGGGCACTTTAGGTAGTTAAAATTGAAAACGTTTCCCGGGGGAGCATGCCCC